CTCCCACCCACGGTCCTGACACCTGCTCTAATGGCACTCCCATGCATGATCGAGATATCTTCCCAGATGTCTTGGAGTAGGAGTGCCATTGAAGTAATCTAAGAACCCGTTATCTTGCCTTGCCGTAGTGATAACCTTCCCCCTCGCGTGAGATATCGTTGTGCCATGATCCAGTTACCAAAATTACCATTGTTGCAATGCAGGCTTGCAATTCTGTTTTATATTTCATTCTCCCACTTCAATTTTTAACTTCCATATTGAAAAGTCGTGTTTCGGAGTCCTCCAAAAATAGTTTTTTTTCCACAATTCGAGTCGCCAATTTTACTACGTAGATAACCATTATATAATCGTGATATATGATAGTAGATAACAATGATATAAAGCATTTATAATCTTGTCGTGCATTGTCCAAAGTCATTTATTTTACACGACCTGATAACATGAAATGTAAATAACGTAAATTTAAATTGTAATTTAAATTAATTAACGTAAATTAATTTCACCTAAATAAGTGAAATTATATGCCTTGTCGCAGCCGGAAGTGTTCTGTTGTTGTAGCTGTGAGTGTTCTGTTGTTGTAGCTGTGAGTGTTCTGTTGTTGTAGCTGTGAGTGTTCTGTTGTTGTAGCTGTGAGTGTTCTGTTGTTGTTGCTGTGAGTGTTCTGTTGTTGTTGCTGTGAGTGTTCTGTTGTTGTTGCTGTGAGTGTTCTGTTGTTGTAGCTGTGAGTGTTCTGTTGTAGCTGTGAGTGTTCTGTTGTTGTAGCTGTGAGTGTTCTGTTGTTGTTGCTGTGAGTGTTCTGTTGTTGTTGCTGTGAGTGTTCTGTTGTTGTAGCTGTGAGTGTTCTGTTGTAGCTGTGAGTGTTCTGTTGTTGTAGCTGTGAGTGTTCTGTTGTAGCTGTGAGTGTTCTGTTGTTGTTGCTGTGAGTGTTCTGTTGTTGTAGCTGTGAGTGTTCTGTTGTTGTAGCTGTGAGTGTTCTGTTGTAGCTGTGAGTGTTCTGTTGTTGTTGCTGTGAGTGTTCTGTTGTTGTAGCTGTGAGTGTTCTGTTGTTGTTGCTGTGAGTGTTCTGTTGTTGTTGCTGTGAGTGTTCTGTTGTTGTAGCTGTGAGTGTTCTGTTGTAGCTGTGAGTGTTCTGTTGTTGTTGCTGTGAGTGTTCTGTTGTTGTAGCTGTGAGTGTTCTGTTGTTGTTGCTGTGAGTGTTCTGTTGTTGTTGCTGTGAGTGTTCTGTTGTTGTAGCTGTGAGTGTTCTGTTGTTGCTGTGAGTGTTCTGTTGTTGCTGTGAGTGTTCTGTTGTTGTAGCTGTGAGTGTTCTGTTGTTGTAGCTGTGAGTGTTCTGTTGTTGTAGCTGTGAGTGTTCTGTTGTTGTAGCTGTGAGTGTTCTGTTGTTGTTGCTGTGAGTGTTCTGTTGTTGCTGTGAGTGTTCTGTTGTTGTAGCTGTGAGTGTTCTGTTGTTGTAGCTGTGAGTGTTCTGTTGTTGTTGCTGTGAGTGTTCTGTTGTTGTAGCTGTGAGTGTTCTGTTGTTGCTGTGAGTGTTCTGTTGTTGCTGTGAGTGTTCTGTTGTTGCTGTGAGTGTTCTGTTGTTGTAGCTGTGAGTGTTCTGTTGTTGTAGCTGTGAGTGTTCTGTTGTAGCTGTGAGTGTTCTGTTGTTGTAGCTGTGAGTGTTCTGTTGTTGTTGCTGTGAGTGTTCTGTTGTTGTTGCTGTGAGTGTTCTGTTGTTGTAGCTGTGAGTGTTCTGTTGTTGTAGCTGTGAGTGTTCTGTTGTTGTTGCTGTGAGTGTTCTGTTGTTGTAGCTGTGAGTGTTCTGTTGTTGTTGCTGTGAGTGTTCTGTTGTTGTAGCTGTGAGTGTTCTGTTGTTGTAGCTGTGAGTGTTCTGTTGTTGTTGCTGTGAGTGTTCTGTTGTTGTAGCTGTGAGTGTTCTGTTGTTGTAGCTGTGAGTGTTCTGTTGTTGTAGCTGTGAGTGTTCTGTTGTTGTAGCTGTGAGTGTTCTGTTGTTGTTGCTGTGAGTGTTCTGTTGTTGTAGCTGTGAGTGTTCTGTTGTTGTTGCTGTGAGTGTTCTGTTGTTGTAGCTGTGAGTGTTCTGTTGTTGTTGCTGTGAGTGTTCTGTTGTTGTAGCTGTGAGTGTTCTGTTGTTGTAGCTGTGAGTGTTCTGTTGTTGTTGCTGTGAGTGTTCTGTTGCTGTAGCTGTGAGTGTTCTGTTGTAGCTGTGAGTGTTCTGTTGTTGCTGTGAGTGTTCTGTTGTTGTAGCTGTGAGTGTTCTGTTGTTGTAGCTGTGAGTGTTCTGTTGTTGTAGCTGTGAGTGTTCTGTTGTTGTAGCTGTGAGTGTTCTGTTGTTGTCGCTGTGAGTGTTCTGTTGTTGTTGCTGTGAGTGTTCTGTTGTTGTAGCTGTGAGTGTTCTGTTGTTGTTGCTGTGAGTGTTCTGTTGTTGTAGCTGTGAGTGTTCTGTTGTTGTAGCTGTGAGTGTTCTGTTGTTGTAGCTGTGAGTGTTCTGTTGTTGTAGCTGTGAGTGTTCTGAATGACAAGGATGACCAACCAACACCCACAAGGATGACCAACCAACACCCACAAGGATGACCAACCAACACCCACAAGGATGACCAACCAACACCCACAAGGATGACCAACCAACACCCACAAGGATGACCAACCAACACCCACAAGGATGGCCAACCAACACCCACAAGGATGGCCAACCAACACCCACAAGGATGACTAACCAACACCCACAAGGATGACCAACCAACACCCACAAGGATGACCAACCAACACCCACAAGGATGACCAACCAACACCCACAAGGGTGACCAACCAACACCCACAAGGGTGACCAACCAACACCCACAAGGATGACCAACCAACACCCACAAGGATGACCAACCAACACCCACAAGGATGACCAACCAACACCCACAAGGATGACCAACCAACACCCACAAGGATGACCAACCAACACCCACAAGGATGACCAACCAACACCCACAAGGGTGACCAACCAACACCCACAAGGATGACCAACCAACACCCACAAGGATGACCAACCAACACCAGCTCAACAACCCAAAAAGTTGTGATGCTAAACGTGATTCACCCTAACGTGGCTGACAACCAGTAACCCATCCCACACAGTTGAGAGGCGGGACCAAGGAGCCAAAGCTCAACCCCCTGCAAGCACAACTAGATAAGTACACACGAATCACTCACCTACACATGAATCACTGCCTAATGGAATGCATTAGGCAGCGATGTGGTGGAGGCAGACTCCGTACTACACCGTCTCAAATGTAGATATGATGGAGCCCAGTAAGCTCAAGCAACCAGTACAAGAACTGATTGCAAGTTGAGAGGCGGGACCAAAGAGCCGAACCTCAACCTCCACGCAAGCTAGATGAATACAACTAAGTGAGTACAAGGGTCCGTCTTGGACCGTTATGACACACAAGGAAGACGCTGCAAAATTTGTGTCTGCTAATTACAAGATAACGTGAAGGCAAGACGCAGAGAGCAGAAAGAGCGATTAAACTAACACCTCCGTTATAAAAATCAACCTTATGAACACAGTCTCAAAGTTCCATATTGCTAGATAACGAGGCAGACATCTTGGTAGGAAGGTTAAGAGACATTAAAGAAAGCATTAAACTTGGGGATAGACGATGCAATATGTGCAAGAAAAAGGTTTTGGTTTAGAGCTTCGTTTGAACACAGCAATTAGTTGCCCAGTGTTGGTGTAGGCAAATGATATCAATAAGCCTTCAGTAAACTACAAAATGGGACGATAAATACTGAACTTTGGGATGGTAGAAAGGGTTGTAGAAGCTGTTGTATTGTTCCTATTGTAGCCTTCCTCTTGTGGCGTCTTTGTTGTAATGACCTACGGAATGAGAGCTACGCTCGTGGTGTCCCGTCTTCCCAGTACTCATTGTCGTGTCTTTGAAAGTACTGACGGTTTTGGCCTCCACCACCTTCTCACTTCACTGGCTCCAACTCTCCAAAAATAAACATCCTAATGCTTTTTCCTCAGCTTAAACCTGTGTTCTTGAAGTTGCAGCTTTTTTAAAATTCTTCTATGTCACTTTTATCAATTGCAGTTATTATTTCTACGTAGTGATCGTATCACCTCTTTTTCTTCTATCCTCTGGTGTATTGAGCACCTCTTAGTCTCTCCTTGTAGTTCTTGTTTCTCAGTTCTGGAAGTCATTTAGTTGCATGGCTCTGTGCAGCTGTTGTGGTGTCTGCTGTTTGCGTCCCTGTTGTAGCGTCTGTGCTGGCAGCCGCAGTAGAAGCAGCAGCAGCAGCAGCAGCAGCAGCAGTAGTAGGGGAGAACCATTATTTCTCGTTTACTGTCATAGTTCCATTTCATAATTCACCACGGTGGTACTTCATTCATAATTTTGTTCAAGCGGCACCAGAGAGAGAGAGAAAGAGTGCGAGAGTGAGTGTGTGAGAGAGTGAGAGTGAGTGTTAGAGAGAGAGAGAGTGTGTGTGTGTGAGAGAGAGTGAGAGTGAGTGTTAGAGAGAGAGAGAAGAGAGAGAGAGAGAGAGAGAGAGAGAGAGAGAGAGAGAGAGAGAGAGTGAATTTTAGAGAGAAAGAGACAGACAGACAGACATAGACACACAGACAGATATGCAGTCGTTAGATAACTCCAAAAAAAATTATGCTTTATTATTATTTTAAATAAAAATTCCAGTGTTAAGCATTGCCATTATAATTAAGTATAACGTGTGCTTATATATTGCAAAAATTAATGTCAACATCCACTGATGTCTAATTAAGACCATTTTTGCTCCCAGGATAGGTGTGGGGTGCACAATAGACTACTGCTCATAGGATGAGCATAGGGTAAAGAACACACTACTACTCACAGGATGAGTATGGGGAGCACAATAAACTACCCGTCACAGGATTATAATACTGTAACCCGTAATATATCACTAACATATAATATATCCATATATCCGTAATATATCCATTTAAAAGCTGCCCCCTCACTACTTCAACAGTTTATATCTCAGTCAGATGAGACGTGATCCTCCTGAGAGTTGGTGTAATGCTGCCTTGTTATGGGTAATGTGAAGACCGCCAGTGGCAGGACCTTGTGGGAGCAGTGGCAGGAGCTTGTGGGAGGTGGGAGCAGTGGGAGGAGCTTGTGGGAGGTGGGAGCAGTGGGAGGAGCTTGTGGGATTAGTGGGAGGAGCTTGTGGGAGGTGGGAGCAGTGGGAGGAGCTTGTGGGAGCAGTGGGAGGAGCTTGTGGGAGGTGGGAGCAGTGGGAGGAGCTTGTGGGAGTAGTGGGAGGAGCTTGTGGGAGGTGGGAGCAGTGGGAGGAGCTTGTGGGAGGTGGGAGCAGTGGGAGGAGCTTATGGGATTAGTGGGAGGAGCTTGTGGGAGGTGGGAGCAGTGGGAGGAGCTTGTGGGAGCAGTGGGAGGAGCTTGTGGGAGGTGGGAGCAGTGGGAGGAGCTTGTGGGATTAGTGGGAGGAGGTTGTGGGAGGTGGGAGCAGTGGGAGGAGCTTGTGGGAGCAGTGGGAGGTGGGAGCAGTGGGAGGAGCTTGTGGGAGGTGGGAGCAGTGGGAGGAGCTTGTGGGAGGTGGGAGCAGTGGGAGGAGCTTGTGGGAGTAGTGGGAGGAGCTTGTGGGAGGTGGGAGGAGCTTGCGGGAGTAGTGGGAGGAGCTTGTGGGAGGTGGGAGCAGTGGGAGGAGCTTGTGGGAGGTGGGAGGAGCTTGTGGGAGGTGGGAGCAGTGGGAGGAGCTTGTGGGAGGTGGGAGGAGCTTGTGGGAGCAGTGGGAGGAGCCCAGTAACACAGCCCAGAGTTACTAGGGGGGTGTTTATCACAGGGTAAATACTGGGGGCAGGACTTTATGGGCTATTCATGCCCGTACAATCGGAGCAGGACTCGTCAAGAATTGACACAACCCACTTATAGAACCTCTGCACGTCTTTAATGGCGGCTTTGTGTTCATTTATTTAACAGTTTATGGGCTTGGAAACTTTATAACTCAAGGCTGTTATTGTTATTGTTATAAATAACCGCCGTAGCGCGTCAGAGCTCATAAATGGTTTAATAAAGTATAAACAGCTGTCATGATTGGGGAAAGATGTACTGGTTTCGTGAGTGGTGGAGTAAATGCTCGCATCATAGCTTTGATTGCCACTTCAAAGATGTTCTGTGACAGCCAAGGAAATCATCGGGCATTAGGCTCATGAGTATATAATTTAACAGATTTAGATTTTAACATTTTCTAACTTAATAAAGGCCATCTACAAATTATTAATCCCATTACAGGCTTTAATAAAAATATATTATTATTGTTTACTGATGCATTGACTGACCTGTGTTAGTCTACATCAAAGTGAAAATTCCTTTATTGAATTCCTTTATTGAATTCCTTTATCAGTTATCGCAAACTCGTATAATAACGAATGTATTGGAAAGGTACTTAAAATAGGAGTGAATGATTTATGAACACCGTGTACATCTTGATCTAGACATTGCTAGCAAAGGGAACGCAGACAGAGCAAGGTGCTTAGTGAGTGGAAACATGGCACTTACACAAGGCACTTACACAAGACACTTACACAAGTCATAGGAATACAAGAGACTTGCATAAGTCACAACTTCAACTCCTTAATCTGTCTTCGCGTCCAGTCAGCACCAACACAGCTCCCTGGCGGGCAGACTGAATGCTCTGAACATCCTCCCAAAAATGAACTAAGCTCACTCATATCTCTAGAAAATAGGACGAATGAGCTGATTCCATTTCTTGCTGGACTATAGGCTCGAGTCATTTGGCGAGTTAGTATATAATTGGTTACATTTTCCGAGACAGAAGCAACTCACACACACACACACACACACACACACACACACACACACACACACACACACACACACACACACACACACACACACACACACACACACACACACACACCTGGTGGAGAGGGGTGCCAGGGGTGGTCAGGTGTATGTGAGCGAGACAGTACAGGTACACAGTGAGGAGGGAGAGTTCCTCAACAGTAACGGGATCATCAGGATAAATTTAAGAAGCAGAAAAGCAGCAACAACGGCAGTTATTGTAGTTGCAACAGTAGCAACAGCAACAGTAGCAACAGCAACAGTAGCAACAACAACAGTAGCATCAACAACAACAGTAGCAGCGTCAACAGTAACGCCAGGCTAAAAACTAACCTTTTTCCAGCAAGTTAATATTGACCACAGGGGCTGACAGCTAAAGCACACAAAAATGACTGCATGTGTAAGGTAAACTAACATATAACGGAAGAGTCACCATTCCCCCGCCGTCGTCTCGCAGAGAAGAATCACGCTTGGAAAATGGCCACATTGAAGCAATTAGGACTGGTTCACTTGTCGTACTTTTGCGAGGCCTCGACGCCTCCAGACCCAGAGGGTGTGTGTGTGATGGGCTACTGGCCTCCCCTCCCCCTCACACACACACACACACACACACACACACACACACACACACAAGAGATATTAGAAAGAACTTTTTTAGTGTCAGAGTGGTTGACAAATGGAATGCATTAGGAAGTGATGTGGTGGAGGCTGACTCCATACACAGTTTCAAGTGTAGATATGACAGAGCCCGATAGGCTCAGGAATCTGTACACCTGTTGATTGACGGTTGAGAGGCGGGACCAAAGAGCCAGAGCTCAACCCCCGCAAACACAACTAGGTGAGTACAACTAGGTGAGTACACACACACACACACACATACACTCATTCTCTCTCTCTCTCTCTCTCTCTCTCTCTCTCTCTCTCTCTCTCTCTCTCTCTCTCTCTCTCTCTCTCTCTCTCTCTCTCTCTCTCTCTCTCCCCCTCCCACTTCCACAGACTGTCATGAACATTGTAAAAGATACATAGCCATATAATTACTTTTTAATTACCTGGGGAAAAAGAGCTTTATTTCGGGAACAATAATAGTAATTGTGGGTTACAACGGCCTCATTAATTTGGGCTCTAGGGTGAAACTTTTGTTCATTGCTCCCTCTTGTCATTGCTCCGTCACACACACACACATGGTACCCCTGGTGGCTGAGTGGAGAGCACTCAGGTCTCGTAATCCTGGGGACCAGGGTTCGATCCCTAGCGATGGCGGAAAACAAATGAACAGTTTCACCTTGATGCTTCTGTTACCTAGCAGTAAATAGGTACCTGGGAGTTAGACAGCTGCTACGGGCTGCCTTTTATATGTGTGTGTGTGTGTGTGTGTGTGTGAAAAAAATAGTAGTTAGTAACAGTTGATTGATTGACAGTGTAGAGGCGGGCCGAAGGAGCAGAGCTCAACCTCCGCAAGCAGAACTAGGTGAATACACACACACACACACACACACACACACACACACACACACACACACACACACACACACACACACACACACACACACACAGGCAGCCTTATAATCTCCTCTCATCTCAACCCAATGGAATCCTACCATTGTTGTCCTCAAGAAGCCTTACTCAGCACCCACATAATTCACAGGAGGAAAAGAGTAAGGGGAAGAGGAGGAAGAGAAATTGGAATAAAGAGGACGGGAAAGATGGGGCGGAGAGGAAGGAAGAAGGGAAAAAAAGAATGGGGAAGAAAGGAAGGGTAGGGAGGGTCAGAAGGACCAAATTGTCGTCTCAGATATTTTCCCCAAGACTCGCCAGTTTTCTCTCAGACCCTCCCAAGCAGACATTCTTATTTCTATAGAACTTTCTTCATTAATCTTGACGGAGGTGTTTGGGGAGTTTTTTTCTATTGGGACAAAACTCCCAACATGTCACGTTTATTTTGTAGCGTTTCTTAAACCTGATTGGTTGGTTTTGTAGTGTTTCTTAAACCTGATTGGTTGGGTTTTGTAGCGTTTCTTAAACCTGATTGGTTGGGTTTTGTAGCGTTTCTTAAACCTGATTGGTTGGGTTTTGTAGCGTTTCTTAAACCTGATTGGTTGTCTATGCAGTGTTTCCTCCTCCCATTGGTCAGTTTTCTCGGCAATAATCATTTACTCGCAGTTTGTGTTGCGTGTTTATAGTGTTGTACAAGGCCTCTGCGGCGTGTTGAGTTGCAGGAGTCGTAGTGTGTTACTGTGTTAAGTGTTGCTTTATGTGTAAGATGCATTGTGTTGAGTGCGAGGCAGAGTGTGTTACAAGGGAGCCGTGGTGTGTTGCTTGTTAAGGCGCTGTTATGTGTAAGTCAGATTACGTTATTGGTAAGTCATATTGTGTTACAAGTCCTATTGTGTTACAAGTCCTATTGTGTTACAAGTCCTATTGTGTTACAAGTCCTATTGTGTTACAAGTCCTATTACGTTACATGTAATATTGAATTAATAGTAAGACATGATTTATTATGATCAACTTAAAACGTATTGAATTCCTTTGTTACGAAAACACGTTAATTAATCAGTTTAAAAGAGGACCAATAATAGATTATCCTTAATACTAACATTTCAGTGTTTAGTTCATGGTAAATTTTTTATGTTCACTTATTATTGTTATTTATCTAAAGTATCTTTACGTTGAAGTACATATTGTTACTTTCTGGTGGTCCATCACTACATATTGTTACTTTCTGGTGGTCCATCACTACATATTGTTACTTTCTGGTGGTCCATCACTACATATTGTTACTTTCTGGTGGTCCATCACTACATATTGTTACTTTCTGGTGGTCCATCACTACATATTGTTACTTTCTGGTGGTCCATCACTACATATTGTTACTTTCTGGTGGTCCATCACTACATATTGTTACTTTCTGGCGGTCCATCACTACATATTGTTACTTTCTGGCGGTCCATCACTACATATTGTTACTTTCTGGTGGTTCATCACTACATATTGTTACTTTCTGGCAGTCCATCACTACATATTGTTACTTTCTGGTGGTCCATCGCTACATATTGTTACTTTCTGGCGGTCCATCACTACATATTGTTACTTTCTGGTGGTCCATCACTACATATTGTTACTTTCTGGTGGTCCATCGCTACATATTGTTACTTTCTGGTGGTCCATCGCTACATATTGTTACTTTCTGGCGGTCCATCACTACATATTGTTACTTTCTGGTGGTCCATCACTACATATTGTTACTTTCTGGTGGTCCATCACTACATATTGTTACTTTCTGGTGGTCCATCACTACATATTGTTACTTTCTGGCGGTCCATCACTACATATTGTTACTTTCTGGCGGTCCATCACTACATATTGTTACTTTCTGGTGGTTCATCACTACATATTGTTACTTTCTGGCAGTCCATCACTACATATTGTTACTTTCTGGCGGTCCATCACTACATATTGTTACTTTCTGGTGGTCCATCACTACATATTGTTACTTTCTGGTGGTCCATCACTACATATTGTTACTTTCTGGCGGTCCATCACTACATATTGTTACTTTCTGGTGGTCCATCACTACATATTGTTACTTTCTGGTGGTCCATCACTACATATTGTTACTTTCTGGTGGTCCATCACTACATATTGTTACTTTCTGGTGGTCCATCACTACATATTGTTACTTTCTGGTGGTCCATCACTACATATTGTTACTTTCTGGTGGTCCATCACTACATATTGTTACTTTCTGGTGGTCCATCACTACATATTGTTACTTTCTGGTGGTCCATCACTACATATTGTTACTTTCTGGTGGTCCATCACTACATATTGTTACTTTCTGGTGGTCCATCACTACATATTGTTACTTTCTGGTGGTCCATCGCTACATATTGTTACTTTCTGGTGGTCCATCGCTACATATTGTTGCTTTCTGGTGGTCCATCACTACATATTGTTACT